ACTGGGGGAAACGTTTACCCCCAATTGGTTGTCCCCCGATTGGTTTTTTTACAAAATCGAAGAGCCCAGCTCATAGATAAAATTTGGGCTCACTGTCTGGAGTTTAGGGCGAAACAGTGAGCCAATTTTAAAACGTTAATCCTTTTTCCTAATTTTTCATGTCTTTTCTGTCATAATATAGGATCGTAAACCCGGAAAAATTCTTTCTTATTTACCCCAAAAATGCGTTTTTGCTCCGCATTCGATGTTTTCGTACTTTTCGTCTTGTAAGGGTTGTTCGGGAGCGTTTTACTCTAAAAAGGCGTTTTTTACCCTAAAAATACGTTTTTACCGTAAAATGCACCTGGGTCTAATTAGATTTCTAGTGCAATCAGGCTAAAACAACCCTTATAAGGCGCCAAACAAGCCTTACGCTTGCGGCTCGAACAACCTGGGGCCAAAGCGGACTTAAGTTTAGACTTAACGCTCCCGAATAACCTTTATACGGCGAAAAGTACGAAAACATCTAATGGGAAGCAAAAAACGCATTTTTGGGGTAAAAACAACGGTTTTGTAAAAAACCCAATCGGGGGGGGGGGATAACCAATTGGGGGGTAAACGTTTCCTCCACCCAGTTATCCCCCCAACTGGGGTGATGTCATGCAAACAGCAAGTTTCAGTATTAAGTCAGATGTCTAATTCAATGGCCAAACAGAACGGGGTATACTGGGAATTTAGAAGTTCAAAAGCAAAATTTAAGTTTTTGTTTAGTGGAACATATCATAAAGGGACAGTTTATTATTATAAAAACTAAATTTTGGTTGCTTATTTTATCATTAGCACTTCACCGAAAATGTTTCAAAACTCGCATGAGTTGGAAACATCAGCCGAGAATCGAAGAAAGAGAACATCGGCCCTATGGTGTAGCGGTTAGCACTCTGGACTTTGAATCCAGCGACCCCAGTTCGAGTCTGGGTAGGACCTTGCTTTTTACTCATCTTTCATTTATCCTCTGGCAACATTTATTTGTTAGCAAACTTTTTCCACAAAAAGTCATTAGCTACGAAATCGATAATGTTTTTTGGAAGAAATTTTGGACAAAAAGTGAATTTTATTCGGTACATTGAAGTATTCCGAAAAATTATAATGGCTGAACTGAAGTGAGAAAGAAATTTACTTGCTTAGTATCACTAAAATAGTATTATTTACTACGAAAAAGTTTTATTTAGGCCAAAATAAATTTTCGTGCACGGATTTGGCTTTGGGAAAATCTAATCTATTTTCTAATAAACATATCGGGATAGAAAATAAGATCCCTGAGTCCGGGTAGGCTCTAGCTTTTTATTTTAGTTTTATTTTCTATTTTATTATTTTTTATCTTCATTTCGGAGAAGTGATTGTGATAAAATAAATATTTCCATACCTTTTTTTACTAGTGTTTGATTATAACATTGATATAAAATCCTGTTTTTATTCCGACTCAAAGGTTCACCGTTTGATAATTGAAGAAGCGTCATAGACGCATATCGTTTTTTGTCTAGTATATTTTGAATGAAAGTAAGTTACTGCGCGGATAGACCATTTATGGTATGTCGCTGCCTTTCGGTTTTTGCAACACCGACTATAAAGCTCAGTATATAAACTTAAGACTTTATATACAACCTTAAGTCCTTATAACTATATATATATTTTAACTATATATATATATATAACTATATATTTATTCGTTGAAAATAATGTCTTCGTCATAGGAGTGATAAAAAGTTACAAATACAACAAAACAATAGAGAAATTGTTCTCGAAAATAAAGTTCAGTAAATTGTTTTGTGAGCAGACGAAAGATGCGTTGATTGAAAGTCGGTTTGGGAATTTGTATTGATTTAATAACTAATGCGAGAACGATTATTGTTATATGTTATTATTCGGCGATTGTCTTTCAAAATAATTTCCAGCAGTCATCCAAAGCAAGGCCAATGACATATCCGGATAAGCCACCGATTGCTGCTCCCATCAGAGGATTTCCTCGATATTCTGTGCCGATTTGACCTAAGTCGCATATAAATCCTTATAGTAAGTTAGTGACGTCTCTCCGTACGCCGGACGTTTTTGGAGTGCATTCTTAGGGGTGCTTATTTCATCATTTCTGTGCTTATTTCACCATTTTAGGGTAATTTTTAGCAGGGAATCCGAATTTGAGGTCAAAATTTAGCTAAAAGTAGACAAATTTAGACAAAATTTAGTCTGTCTGTCAGTCCCTATTCCTGTGTGTAAGGTTTTTTCGGGTCACGGTTTTTCTGGAACGCATTCTTAGGGGTCCCTGAGCCAAACTCAGACTGAGCCAAACTTAGACTGAGTCTGAGTTGCGAGCCACTTCAGGCGGCGAGCCCGACCTTCCCACTTGGAATGTGAGTGAAGTTAGAACAGAAAAGGCATACTGATATAGACTCCCCGCGCGCTAGCGCGCGTTAGCGCGCTAGTAAAGGAGTAACGTAAAAATTACCCTAATACTCTAAATCTCACACACGATTTTTTAACTTCAATAAAAAAATTTAAAACGGAAAACGTCTTCACTTCCTTTTTTATCAGTTGGTGACTGTATAGAACTTTTACAATTTATTTATCGTTTTTCCAATACTTGAAAATACTTTATATAAATTCTCTAACCTCCAACTACGGTGCCGATAATCGTCCCAACTGTAGTAAATAGACCAAAAGCATATCCCAGAATGCCGCCGATCACAGCTCCAACAAAGGGTTGTCCTTGTATTAAACTGCCGATACGACCTAGGGCATTTACAAATAAATCAGCAATTTCAAAATTATCTGATTAAAGAAAGTAACGCCTCAATTATAAATTGCCAGTGACTATGCTGACATATATAAAGCCAATTTTTCGAATATCTGAAAATATATATTAATTTTCCAACCTCCAATTGCTGTGCCGATAATCGCTCCAATTGTACTAGCGGCTATTCCGCCAAACCAGCCCCCTGCTGTTTGCGAAAAAACATTCCATGTATTTTCGTAGCCTTGGCCTTCCTTCAAGTCGTCAAAAAGCACAGAACCAATTCGATAAGTGTCCAAGATCGCAAAAACTGGTAAACTAGCGTATTTTCCGAGAGTCTGAAAATTTTTCGTTATATGATATTATGACTTATTGATTTGTATTAAGCAAATCTAGTTAAATAAAAAGATTACTCTCGTCCAAGGATCTCCCAAAACTCTTGCAGAGAAATCAATTATTCGTTCAATTATCCCGGGACATCCGTTAATCCCACAGATCGATTCGTAAATACTTCGCAAATCATCGCCTTGAATGGCTAAAAAAGTTTTATAAGGCTAACATTAACCTCATTATGCCCCAGGTTAGCTCAAAACTTAAACAATAATTACGGATATAACCCCGCTTAGAAACCGGCTGAATCTAAGACCAGATATGGCCTGAAAGTATGGAGGAATTTTCATTTTGGCTCGTTTTGCTCCAAATTATTTATTTAACATACACGTTCTCGAAGAAGTTGAAGCTTTCAAATGCTCCGAATAAGAGAGCAAAATTAGCAGAAGCACTACAAAAGGCTTTCTCGGAAGCATTTTTCGAATTCCGATGTAAAATAATCAATGCGGACAGTTTTGGGTAACGATCTTTTTGGAACAATCATATAGTCTGGCCAATTTGTCCCGAAAGGAAGCCACGAGGAAGCATATTTCGAAAGCGTATTTCTGCATCGATTCGTTTTCGCTTGTGAACATTTCGAATTATATTCTGAATTAATTCAATCCAAAATGGGTTATTGGGATCAAAAGTAATAACAGTTTTTTCTCTATCAGGATATATTTGTCAGGCCAAATTATGGTCTAATCAGTAAATTTCACTAATATTTTCGAAAACTTACAAACTACAAATATTATCACTGACTTTCACAAAAAATACGAAACTTGAAAACGTTCCAGGATAAAATACTTAATTGAAGGCGGAATATTATCCAATCTCAGGCTTGAGTCGTTTTCTTTGTATTCGCAGTACATGGCCACGTCCTCATAAACAAAATCCTAGTTGACACAAAATCCTAGTTGACCAAGTGTTCCCCTATAAAATGTTTACTTTCACTGGTTCATCCACAACCAAACCTCCTGGTAAATGGCGCCCGCATGGTGTCACATCAACTGCATCTGTGTAATATTTAAATTTTATTGTCCTGCTACTTTTAAGACCTATTTGCAGAAATTAATATCTTTTACTTTAAAAAAATACGTTTGTTGCAAAAATGAAAAGTTTATAACTTTTCTATAAACAATTTCATGCATATACAGCTTTAAGAGAATAAAAACAACGATTCACTTCGCGAATCCAGGAGAACTTTATCGCAGTAAATGGATAGACTGATTTTTGGAAGCCATTGATAATCAAATAATTTCATCAAATAAATGATCAATGATTACGATTTTCGATCAAATGTTTGTCAGAAAAATGTTTGGGTCGTAAATCATCCCTGCATTTCAGAGATGAATTTGTATAATAGTAAGTTTCAAGCATTTAAAACGTTTCGAACATGCATACTCTAGGGCAGTTTTTCGGGAGAAATTGATATTTTTTTTTCAAAACGATTTTATGTCAGGCGACTTTTTGCCAAATTTTTCAGGGAATTACAAAAAAATTCCGATTTAAGAAATCATTCAAATTTTGATTTTCCCGTTACCTTTTCAGCAAAGAAAGAATTTCTAGCCGAGTTGTATGTGTTGAAATTTAGGTCTTTGGCTTGCCAGTCATATAGGACTTGCTTCGGTACATCGACAAAATCGGTGCTATCTGGCTCTCTGAACTTGAATGCCCGAACTTCGAAGGCCATGTTTTCAAAATAAAACACCAATTTTTGCACTTCTTACTCCCCGGTCAACCCACACAGTTATTCCAGTCCGTTCCCTTCTAAATTAAAAATATTAAAATTCGTCGTGAAGAACCAAGAACAGTGAAATGGGTGAAACATTTTGAAATATAAAATCCATTTAGTCTAAAAAATGATCGCCCCGGGAAGGACTCAAACCTTCAAACTTTCGGTTAAAAATTTGAACGCGCTAATCGATTGCGCCACCGAGGCACATGATCTGCTATACTGAACTATCATTAGCATATCTGCGCTTTCGATGTTCTTTTATAATTTTGTGTTTTGCCTAAAACCACTTTTTATGTCTGTGCAGACAAGAAAAAGTGGTTTTAACAGCCTTAACAAATCGTGCAGTAAATATTCGCTGTGCATGACACTATTAGAAGACAATTATGCACAATTTTTAACAAAGCTGCCTCTAAATTTAAGATTATGGTCCGATGCCGAAAAGTATACCGCACTGTTCCTACGCCAGCCCATTGACGAACTGTAAACAAGTCACGAAATAAAGGCGGCAATTCGAATCGGGTTTTCGGGCTCTTTGCTGATTTGGGCGGTATTCGTTGGGTTTGGTTCGAAATATCATTTGATTAGATTAGAATCATAAAATGCCAAACGTAAAAATATTAGAAAATCATATTCTGAAAGAATCTTTTTATAGATTTCCGAATATTCCGGCACATCTTCGCGACGAATTCTTGAGATCAATGTTTTTCAATACGCTCCTCTGTATTTTAAAATTTTCCGATTGCAAAAATTTTTAATAATAAAATGGTTTGAAAGAAACTCCATTTGGATTCGTCATTAGACTCGCTTGTGTTTTACTTCGTTTTGATTTATGTTTGCTCAGGCGCTTATTGGGTATAGAGTACTGAATGGGGGCGTATTGGAAACAAGCGAATGTATTTGCACATATGAATTGATGTCATTTATTTGGATTATCAGTAGCAAGACACTGTACTGAAATTTTCTCTGCATAATTTTTCCAAAAACTTTTTAGTTAATATTGAATTAAAACCTCGCCAGTTTGGATGATGTCAGCCAGATCGCGAATCAGTGTCATTATATGGGTCCTTGTATTCACAGAATAAAAAATAGAATGTACGTACACTGAACAGAGAATCACAAAAAATTTTAATTCAACAAAATTGAGAAAAATCAATGCATCCTTATAGATCTTCCACAAAATCTGAGTTTAAGAGGTTACCGCCCAATTGGGGGGATAACTGGGGGAGGAACGTTTACCCCCCATTGGTTCTCCCCCCAATTGGCTTTTTTAAATAAAACCGTTATTTTACCCCAAAAATACAGATTTTCAGCCTAAAAATGCGTTTTTTGCCCTAAAAATGCACCTGGCCTAATTTGGACTTCTATTTTAGGCCATAAAACCGCTATGTTAGGCTAAAACAACCCTTATAAGGCGCCAAACGAGGATTTAGGCTTGGGGCCCCGAACAACATGGGGCCTAAGGGTCTTACTCTTAGGCTTAAGCTCCCGAACAACCCTTATAAGGCCAAAAAGAACGAACATATCTAATGCGGTGCATAAATCTTGATTGCATCGTGAGAACGCGGAATTTGAAGTTCAGATTCCGAAAATTCCTCAAGTTTGTATGAGTTTTGGAGGAATTTCGCAATCCGAACTTAAAATTCCGCGATGCAGTCGCGATTTCAACATTCGTTTTCGGTATCTGAATCAGAACTTTCTTGCTTGTTTGGACATGTGATCAAAATTTAGGCTTAACGCCGAAACAGTTATCTTAGAGAAATTAAGTAATGGCAATGTGACGTTGTAACCAAATTTTCACTTGTACATTTCTCCAGAGTAATAATTAAAACTGATGTGATAGTCCTACTACCTGAAGTCATCTTTTAAAGTGTCACCGACTTAATAATAGAAAAGAAATTCATATAACGCTCAAAACTATACAAAACAAGTTTTAACAGTTTGTTATTATTGACACTTCTCTGAATGCAACAACAATTCACTATGTTTGTAGCTTGAAATCTCAAGAAAAATTCCAAATACTAAAACCAAACATAGAGAGACGAATCTCAGGATTAGCGCTTTGTTACGCTTTTGTTTCATATTTTCCGTCAAAATAAGTTGGGATTTCCCGGTTTAGTTTCCAGAAAAATCTCCAAAACAAACAAAAACATTTTTCACGCCACGTGAAATTTTTATGTTGTAAATTGCACTTTTTCATACGAAATGTTATAAAATTTTTTACTTTCCTGAAACTGTTGGAATTGAAAATTACTCTTTCATTTTTGCATTCAGATTTTCTAAAAATATCAACTAAAGTAAATTACTGAGTCATTAGATTCCAGAAATAAAATAGGAGCCAAGATGGAAACTTTCAAGAGGACAAAAAGGCAAATTTCGTTCCTCGTCACGGATAATCCTGAGACTTTGAAAGGCGAAAGCTGCACAAACAAAGCTTTGCGCTACATTTCGGATACAAAAATAATCTGGCAAACAAAGAGGACGACATATATGGGCAAAAGGTGAACGTAGAAAGCGATCATATATAAAAGCACTCAGGATTGAACCCTGAAGTTAAAGGTACTCAAAATGGTCCTCAAAGCGTCCCGAGTGTTGTTGCTATTGTGGATATTCGTTGGCATTCCTTTGAAATGCGGTGAGTCGTGACTCAAGTATTTTGAAAGTTTATAGTAAAATATCAAATAAAAAGAAAACCGCCATCCTATCAGGGAACAGGCAGTATGTTAAAAATAGGAAATTAAGCGAGAAAATGTTTCTTTACTAAATAAACTCTGAAATTTTATTAAAATCCCCTTACTAGAAACGAAACCCAATATATGTTTTCCGATATAGAAATCAGTTATGACATATAAATGTAACGGCCGAGATATTTCGTTCGAGTTCTGCCTTAGGCAAGTCTTTTCTTGCCAACATCAACAAATACAATATTGCTTTCTTTCACTCATTTTGACCGTAAGCTGAAATGTATCCTTTATAGCGGCACAATCCGAAGAGGAGAAAGAAGCGGAAAAGGCAATCTCGGATTCGACTGCGATCCTTAAGGAAGTTAACGATGCCGTCACTGAGGTCACTCGAGTCGCTACATCTGTTGATGACACAAATTTACCTTCACCGCCGGCTGACGCCGGAGCAGGTAAGACAAAAGACTATGAGTTTTTTAAATTGCTAAAATGTTTAAAAATTATAGCAACCCCAGCCAAAACGGCAGCGAACACTGCAGCCACCGAAGCCAAAGCAGCGAGGGAAAAGTTGCAAGAAGCGAGACATAAAGGTGCGGAAGTTCTGGCGCGGCTTGACAGGCACAGGATAGCGATGGTGGCTTGGAATGCCGAAGCTGACAGGGACGACGCTGCACTGGCGACTCCAGCGAAATTTAACACCGAGGCATGTAACATTAGATTAGTGTTTGATTTACGATGAAAACTGGAAGTTGGATGTCAAAATTACGTAAAATTTGACTGGAATTTATATCGATGACTTTGTATAGAAAATTTTATGTAATAAGAAATAACAGCCAGGAAAAATCAAAATCTTGGTATTGCGTCGGAAGATATTAAGTAAAAATATACCTAGCTGTAATTTAAAGGAATTAAATTTAAATAAGTTCAAAATTGTGGTATTTTCGTACGTCGTCATTACATACACAAAGAAAGCCTGTCATGTTGCTAAATTTAGTATCTCCGATTTGATACAAAATCATAGGAAATAATTTTGAGAATTAAGAATTCAAAAATCTAAAATCACTTTGTAGAAAATACGCTTAAGAATAGGATATAGTTTGAACATGTTTAGGAGGCTACTAAAGCCGCAGACCTGCGAGATAGAATTGATGCAGCAATCGGTGCTTTGGCTATCACCGGTCCATTGGCTGAGAATGGGAAGAGAACTGCAACCGTAGATGGTGCTGGGACTACTGCTGCGACAACGGCTGGGACTTCACTGACAACTGCGAGAAGGAAATATTGGGCAGCTAGAAATGTGGAGAATGCAGCCGAAACTATTACTGAAATGACAGGCAAAGCTACAGCAGCGCGGGTAATTATATAATCCGAACGAAGTTCAATCATTTTAATCTCCTTAAAATTTAAATTAAAATTACCCAAGGGGTCTCTTTACCCCTTTGGCATTCATTGGCGTTCGTAAAAATTCAAGTAAAACCGCAAATATACCTTCCTCGGTCTTTGCTTTGCTTCGATCGTATTTTGCTTATTTCAGGATAGAGTGACCGGCGGCTTGACAACAGCGGCTAACGGTGCCAGAGATACGGCTGGGTAAAATATCTCAAAATATTACATCAAAGATCCATATATAATATTTATCATTTAGGAATGTCCTAACAGCTGCAAATAACCTTAGGGTCAGCAAAGACAAAGCTGCCGCTCAAAAGGCCCTCAACGACGCTAAAGCTGTCCTTGCGCAGGCCAGAACGCTCGAAAATGAAGCTTTGGACATTCAGAACGATGTGGCCTCTATGGACACGGCAATTAAAGCAATAAAGGCCGATGCTGGAGATGCCGACCGTGTGGCCATACTTGCGCTCACTGATGTAAGTGTCATTGTACTTCTTCTCAGGATATTTAACATGAACGCTTAAAATGGACACCACGTCAAAAAGATAGGTCAAAATCATGATATTTTGCAGCATTTTTAAATGCGAAAAAAGTAAAAATAATACTTTCGTGAAAAAGGTTGCAAATGCGCTCAAAAAAAATTATTTCAACGTTTTATACAAATCTTTTACAAATGTTTATATTACAACGATATCACCTAAAATAGTGATTAAAAAGAGAAGAATAATAATTTTATTCCTAGCTAATTTGTCACATATAAAAATTTAAAAAATTGGTCCTGTTTCTAAAATTATCTATTCTTTAATCACTTTATGACCAAATTTTATAATGCATTATAAAAAATTGAGAATGAAAAGTTTAGGCAGCTAGAGACGCGATAGGTACCGCTGCGGCAGCTGGCATCAATTCGGCGAGGCTGACAGGTGCTGGTGCTCGGGAACCCGGTGCAATCCAGAAAGCCATCGAAGACGCTGACCTGGCTATTATAGGTCTGTTATTTAATATTTATTATTATCTTAATATCTCTTATAGAGGCCCAGAGGGTTTTGTCCCTACTCGATGCCATGGATGACATAGCCAAAAGTGTTGCGCAAATGAAAACTGCAGTGGACACTGCTACTTCCGAGAGGCAAAGAT